GGACCGCTCCCATTACCAGGTACCAAGAGGTTTTTCCATTATTTTTCTTTTTAGAAACATTTTATTATTTTTATTCTGTGCATGAGTGTATTGCCTGAATGTAACTAAGCTGATACAATTCTCAAACTACAAAATACGTAATTATATCTTAGAATATAATTTCAAAATACTATGTCTACTATAAGTTTTAATATTGTATACTGACAAAACTCTACTGCCAAGCTTCAACAATGTGAAATCTGTCACTGTTCCTGAGTTTACCACCAACTCCCTTTCCAAACTCTCCAACCTATACAATCTTTCAGTGTAATCACTTCTAAAAGAAAGCAATGCTCATAAACTATTTTTAAATTTTAAAAATGGCTAGTCTCAAGAAAAACAATGTAGGCTGTAAAATTTACTATGTGTGACAAGGTAACAGAGGTGTGCCTGTCCCCTCAGATATGGGTCCACACCGGAGAACCACGATGACACCAGTAACTTCCCTCTCAACTGCTGTTTGTCTCAGCTGCACCATCCCTCTGGACCTTGCCTGCTGCAGCCCTGCAACCTAGTTCAGCAGATTCTGTTTGCTCCCACCTTAGTAAATTCTTTCTAAGCCTATATTACTGGCCTTCCATACTTGGTTTCACGACACTGTTTGAACCCAGCAGCACAAAAAAAGCCAGGTGACAGTGCATGCCTGTAATCAATCTCTCGCTCTCTCTCTCCCCCCTGTCTTACACACACACACACACACACACACAATCTTGTGTGTTAGGGGAATTACTCTTCTAAAAGCTGCAGATAACTTTCCCAGTAGTTTGCTCTTTGTCTTTGGGCTCCTGTTTTGCCAAACTGATATTTCTATAGTCAAATTTATCAGTCTTTGCTTTTATGACTTGCTCAGAAAGGAGCAGGATATGCCCCACCCCCACCATCCAAGCCTGCTTACATGTACACGCACCACTTTGTCAGTAGACTAACCTTGGAATGACTTGCTGGGTTAGAACATAAGACACAGACAGCAGAAGACAAGTGGTATCTCCAAGAGGTCCCAAAGTCAGGGGGACACAGGTAAACTGACCAGCTACAACTCTGTTGTAATAAATGGCAGAGGACACAAGGAGAACTCGAGCAATGCCCACATCATCCAGACCAAGTCGACCAAGAAGGCTTTGCAAAGGGGACCTCTGGTTATATCTAGTGGCCCATGAAGGAGGCAGCTAGGCTTAAAAAAAATCATGAGTGTCCTGTTACAGTATCTGAAGACGTTTTGATTTTGGACAAAACTTTTTTCTTTCTATGTCTGGATCCATCTCCACTATTCTGAAATGTTCACAATACACTCAAGGTGTCCTGACACAACATACTCAGGAGGTTTTGTTGAGTATTGATGCACACTTTTAATCTAGAAACTATCACTGATTCTCAATTATTTTCTTTTCTGACAGTTTCATGTATCCTAGGTTGCCCACAAATTCATTATGCAGCTGATGAGCCTGAACCTCTGATCCTCCTGCCTCCACATCCTCAGTGCTGAGATTACAGGTGTGCACCACTCCTGGTTTATGTGTTGTTGGGGACGGAACCCTGGGCCTCATGGACGCTGGTCAAACACTAGCAACATTCTCAAACATAAACTTTCTTGTTTGAAGCTTCCTAGCCTCTGTTTTCTATTTTCTCTTTCTGACACACCTCTTTAATGGACAAATGAAGTTCAACTTTTTTTTGGGGGGGGGGTTCCTTTTTGAGACAGGGTCTCTCTGTAGCCCCGGCTGGCCCGGAACTCGCTATATAGACCCTGCTGTCCTTGAACTCAGAGAGATCTGCCTGCCTCTGACTACCGAGCGCTAGCATTAAAGGTATGTGTCACTACACCCAGAGAAGTTCAACTTTTTTAACTGGTCCTACTTTTTATTTTTTATTTTTTCTGTCTTTTTGAGTCAGGGTCTCTCTGTAGCCCTAGCTGTCCTGGAACACACTATGTAGACCAGGCTGGCCTTGAACTCACAGAGATCCACCTGCCTCTGCCTGAGTGCCTACTTATTTTTATTTAATCTTTCGGATTTTTTTTTTTAAACTTTCTACAATTCTATCAGGCTTTTTCATTTCCTTCATCTTTGTCATCAAATATTTACTCTCCTACACACACACACACGGACGTGCACAAACACTGATCCTGTTATTTCAAGGACGCACTACTGTGTACTGTCTTTTATCCTCTGTGTTAAGGCTACTCACACACTTCTTCCCCTGTGTAGTGACTGGTTTGATAGCCAACCTTCAGCATGGAGGCTGCTTCTCAGCTACTGGCTTACTGCTGCAGTTAAGAGCAGGCACTGAGCTGGGCACTGGGCTGCGCACCTTTACTCTCAGCCCTTGGGAGGCAGAGGCAGGTGGATCTCTGAGTCTGAGGCCAGTCTCGTCTACACAGTGAGTTGCAGACCAGCCAGGGCTACATAGTGAGACCCATCTTAAAAAAACAAAATAACAGGGTTTGGAAAGTCGGCTCAGCAGGTAAGAGCACTGACTGCTCTTGCAGAGGACCCAGATTCTGTTGCCAGCACGCACACAGTGGCTAACAACCATCTGTGTAACTCCAGTCCCAGGGGATCTGATGCCCTCTTCTGTCCTCTGTGGCCACTGCATGGCACGGGTGCACTTACATACATATACACTCATACACAAAAAATAGAAATTAAAAATTAAAATAATAATTTTTAAAAAAGAGCAGGTACTGTCTGAAGTTCAGCTTAACCTTCAGCCCATGGGAGGGGTCTGATGCCTCTGGGCTTGCCCGCTGGGTAATCCAGCTGGCCTATTTCCTTAGGAACTTTTATATTATTGTCATTATTCCCCATGAAGCCAGCTGGGCTCCATAGAGAAGGAACGGGCCAGTCTCTGACCTCAAAGATATAGATTGTTCAGCTTCCAATTTTTCCTCTTAAAAGAAAAATTTTTGTTGAAACTAAATGTTTCAACTGTCACTTTAGTATGGCTTTCGGGAGAAAACAAAGCAAGTATAATTTAACCAATCCAATTCCCAGAAGCTCCTCATTAGCATGAGCCCACCGCCATCTAACTTCTAGCCTGACCGGCTCTCCAAATAGTGCAGGCTGGCGCTGACCCTGTGGCCTCAGCTTCCGGAATGCTGGGATCACACAGACGTGCACCACTATGCCCAAGTGAGCCTCACAAAACTACCACCGATAATATCGCCCCCGACTCTGAGCATCCAGGAAGGAGACCCCGTTTCACCCCCGACTCTGAGCATCCAGGAAGGAGACCCGGTTTCACCCCCGACTCTGAGCATCCAGGAAGGAGACCCCGTTTCCCCCCCGACTCTGAGCATCCAGGAAGGAGACCCGGTTTCACCCCCCGACTCTGAGCATCCAGGAAGGAGACCCGGTTTCACCCCCGACTCTGAGCATCCAGGAAGGAGACCCCGTTTCACCCCCGACTCTGAGCATCCAGGAAGGAGACCCCGTTTCACCCCCGACTCTGAGCATCCAGGAAGGAGACCCCGTTTCACCCCCGACTCTGAGCATCCAGGAAGGAGACCCCGTTTCACCCCCGACTCTGAGCATCCAGGAAGGAGACCCCGTTTCACCCCCGACTCTGAGCATCCAGGAAGGAGACCCGGTTTCACCCCCGACTCTGAGCATCCAGGAAGGAGACCCCGTTTCACCCCCGACTCTGAGCATCCAGGAAGGAGACCATTTCACCTTTGTTTCACGTCTCTTTAGGGCATCAGATGTTGATGGCCATTTTTACAGCTCCCTCATGGTGGCCATTCTCTGGAACCTGCTGTCATCGCCAAGGCTTGTCCTCCAGCTTACTTCTTGGACTGCTGCGCCTTTACACTCTCCCAGCATGACCTCACAAAGCCCTTCCGCTTAACATCTCACCTCTCCCTACATACTGGTTACTCGAAGCCCGCATTCCTGTATTTCCAACTCATGGTTATTTTTGTAGATCACTTTATGCTAAAGCCTCCCGGATGGTTCCTCTTGGATTTCTCCGAGAGCCTCACACTCCTACTCAACACTGCCTTTACACAAACGTAGTATGGAGAACCAGCCAGAAAACAGGGTGTCATATTGAGAGTCTACAATTATCACACCCACCTAAGCACTAAGAACTGGCTCTCCCTTCCTAATACAGAGACATTTTCAGGGCTGGAGAGATGGTTCAGCAGTTAAAAGTACTGGCTACTCTTACAGAGGACCTAGGTTCGGTTCCCAGCACCCACATAGTGGCCAACACTCACCCCATTCCAGGGGACCCAAAGCCCTCTTCTGGCCTCTGGGCCCCAGGTATGCACACGTGGTGTACTTACATACATGCAAGCAAAACACTCATACACATAAAATAAAAATCTTTTAAAAAAACTTTTCTAAAGAGAGGATCTCAAATCTATCACCTCAGGCTCGTTTGCAGGACTTGCTAACCACCAGCTGCCAGGCACTGATCTCAGCTGTCTGACTGCGCAGGTCTGGAGCGGCTTCTAGGTGACGTCAATGGTGTCGTCTGGGAACCATTCATTTCCTAGTAACTAATCCCACCACAAGCACAAAGGTGCCACCCATAGCTGTCATGCCTTGCCAACGTCACAACCGAAGCCTTTGTCAGAGCTCCTTAAAATATCCTCCAAACGGGAACTAGACTGATTCTCCTGATAAGATCTGATGTTGGAAGACCTGGAGGCTAATGTGGTGAATTCCTCAGGTGATGCCATGTGCACCCAACTAGCATCAGAAGCCTGCTAACAGCCAAAATATCAACTATTAGAAGCATATACATCAATGCAATGAGCATGTTTTTGCTGTGGTTTCTGGAGACACAGATGTATAACTACTGTTACTTCGTCTGTCTTCTGTGCATGATGTCACTTCCTTCTTTAAACTGTGAACCCTAAATGAAAAAGACCCACTGTGTCTTATCCATGTGAAAAGTGACAAGCCGTTAAAATGAGGAAACAGGAAAGAGACAGGAGAAAGCTTAGAGAGGACAGTACGGAAGCCAGACACCAGGGTGGCATTCCAGTGTGCCTGTTTAATTGAAACCTTGTAATAAAAGTTTAAATACATAAAATGATTTTTTTATCAAAAGAACTTCCCCACTTCCCTGACCTAATGCATATGGAGGAGAGGCAAGTGGGAGCTGGCTATCTGTAGGGAATAGAGAAATGGCAGGTCCAACTCTGGTTGGAATCTTCCTCAGAAAGTGCTCTGTGATTGAACTCAGACTCTCCAGTGACCAGGAATCCAGCCCAGATTGGCTGGCTGTCTTCAGAACGTGGAGTCACGGCTATCTTGGCCTCAGAAGACCAGGAAGAGCAGGGCCTCGTGCCTGGGCAGCACGATGTTTTCCACAGTGCGTTCCATGGCGCGCACCTGCTCTGGGGAGGCAGTGAGGAACGCCAGAGGCCCGATCCGCTGCTCTGCGCAGGAGTGGCACAGGTAGCCGCCCTGGCTTTCCTTCCTGTTGCTCTGCAATGATGGGTAAGAGAAAGAGGTGAGGGACAGTCTAAGGACGAGGGTTTCTCCTCAAGTGGTGCTGAGTTACTGTCCCAGCTGCCAAGGCCCTGACATTGTCACACCTGTGCAAACCCACAGCACTATCATCTACAGTAGATTCAACGCTACCAAATTCCTTAAGAGCAGTAACCACAACCATCTGGTCAAGAGATTAAAGAACCAGGGACTGGGGAAAGCACTACATGAAGAAGCACATGATTAACATGCATGAGACCTTGGGTTCAAGCCTGAGTACAGAATGATGAAGAAAGAGACAAAGAACAAGAAAAACTGAACCAGGCACCCCAGGTAAGTAACTGCTCTGAAGTATTTGGTCACATCTGCATCTCCCAGAATGAAAGGCTTCAGCATGGCCGGGTAGTAGCACTCCTCCTGACTCTGTCAGTCCATCTCTCTCACAAAGGCAGCCCCTTTATCTGCTTTCCATACGAAATGCCCTTCGAAGGAGCTTATAGAAATTTCTCTATTCGCTTCCTCACCCAAAACCCAAAGAGGCACATAGTTCATGAGCAACAAAATGGCCACAAGTGAATTAAATCCTACAGATGGTGAGCGTACATAAGTGATAGGCAGTTTCTTCATGGTGAGGGCGGTGTCCACAGGGATGGTGTTGTTGCACTGCCCCACACAGCAGCAGACCACTCCCGTTTTCAAGACATTACTCGTCAGCTCTGCTTGCAAGAAATACTCCTGAGAAGGAAAAAGACAGAAAGAGATGAACAGCAATACCTCTATCTTCTTGTACGTGGCATGGCCAAGGAACCGTGCACGCTTCAGACACGGATGAGCACAGGAGAAAGACCTTGGCCTGCTTCCTCTTAGTTTTTCTATCATCCCCACCTCAAATCAATCACCAAGACAGAATTCTCAAGAAAGTCCAGTTGGCCTTTTGGAAAAACTGGTAGTTTTTTAAAAAATATTTCTTTAATGACTACAGATTTATTTCTTGTACAGAAGTACTATAAAAAGTACAGTGAACGTACTTTCAATGTATTAATAGTTCATAGGATGAAACAGCTGAATTCAGACTTTAAGTATGAACTATCCTCCCCCTCAGACACACAGAATGATACATGTGGTCTTGCAATAACCCTACATACAACCTCACACTAGAATATAAAATAGTTCATGATAATGCTGATAGTTTCTTTCACTGACACACTTTAAAACGTGGCTTGGTTTTTTTGGTCTTTTTGAGACAGGGTCTCCCTGTAGCCCCAGCTGGCCTAGAACTCACTATGTAGACCAGGCTGGCCTTGAACTCACAGAGATCTGTCTGCCTCTGCCTCCCAAGTGCTGGGACCAAAGGTGTGTACCACCACTCCCGGCCAAAGCATAAGTATTTCTAAATGATTTATAGTTAATAGCATAATCCCACATTCTAGTTTCTTTATCATTACGGCCAATATATAAATATTAACTCCAATTTTACATTGATACATTTAAATCATTTGCCACAAACTCATCAAGCTTAAAACCTGACAAACCCTATTGTCACCTAATTTTTAGGTCCATAAATAAATGTGTGAACATGTGTGGCTTCATGGTATTTGTTTTACACCTAAAATGGCAAAACTCACTCCATTTTGCTCTAGCTGACTTTTGCTTTGCCCTGTTTTCACCCAGCCATTCCCACTGCAGTCACCCAGATGGAACGTCTCGTGCAGTTTCAGGGAATCCTATTTCTACAACACTGGGAAACTTACAAGTGGCCAGGTAACACATCCTCCCACCCAGACTAACTGAAATTTGTTAACTTAAAACCTCTTTATTAACTGACCTACCCCTGTCTGGTGTAACTACAGTTATTAGCTTTACTCTTGGCATGATGTAATTGTGATTTTTAAGCTTTATATACCCTGCCCTGCTTCTCCTCCGGGTCAGGAGTTCTCTGGACATCAGCCCCCGCTCTGACCACGAGCTATTAATAAAGGACTCTTAATTCAACCATCACTATGTGGCGTTCCTCTGTGCATCTCACTCAGTGATGCCCACATGAGATCGCCACTCAGGCTCAGCCTCATTCCGGATCTTCCTGGCCTGATGAACTGTCATAGGGGAGGCCACCTCTGAGACGTTCCAGAGCCCCATCAGTCTCTTATCTGAGTCCCAGAATGATGGCTGAGTGGTCCTGAAACCAAAACTGAGTCCTTCTGGACCTCCGAGGAGGTAAGTTCTGTTATTTCTGGTTTGGGGCTCCATTCTATTCCGGTCTGGTCTCGTCTTTAATAATGGGAACGTGATCTTGACGGGAACCTTCCCAAGTCCTTTCTCAACAGCCAAAACATTGGCTGAGGTCATCTGATAAACTAGTGCACCATTGGAAATTGGTTACTCTGCTCTCTGTTCATGTCTGTTCTGTGTATATGAATACCTGTATGACTGGATGAGGGATTGAGCAGTCGGACGAACGGAGTTCTGCTCTAGACAGAACCTGTACAGAGGGTCCAGTGCTTTGTCTTATCATGGAGAGTATGTCCTTGTCTGTTTCCATTGCTGCCCTGTGACTTTCCTTCCTCCCTGATTCCTGGTGAGGCTGGAAGAGCCAACCTGCCCCCCACCTCCCCCAAGACTGGCAGGTCTGGTAAACTCTGTGTCTCTCCCTTCTGCCACTGCTTTACTCGCTGTTCTGACAGGCTTTGCAGCTTTCTGCTCTCTACACTACTCAGCAGCCCTTCCCATGCCCAGCATTCCCTCTCCCCTCCACCCAGGTCTGTGCCTGTGGCCTGTCCTCTCTCCGCTTCCTGGGCTTTTCTCTGAGGTTTTTCTCTGCTCTGTAAGATCCACGGTTTCTCCATGGCTCCAGTTGCAGCTGCCTATTTGCTTCCGAGTTCTTTCCCTGCTGCCCCAGGCCCTCTACTACGAGGCGAAGTGGGAAGGAACAGGATGTAGCTCAGGACTTGCAGCCAGGACACTGCCCACTGAAGCCTGCTTTCTGTCCCTTCTGTGCTGGTGAGATAAAAGAAAACAAGGTAGGAGGATTTCAGTGAGGCGCCACTGCCCTGGTCTGGGACTCATTTTTCTTCTCTCTGATAGTGTTCCTGGATGTTAGGACGGGCGATGAACTCCCTATGACCTGCTTCCTTGTAGCCCTTTCTCCACCTTCTGAGGGGATGGGCTGGCATTTATCTCTAGATGACTGTTCCTAAGGAGATACTGTTCTATTCTGCCTTGTTACTAAAAAGAAAAGAAGGTGCCCACTCACTGTTTATCAGCTCAGTGTCTACGGATCATCCCTCCCTTCCTCAGCTATGCAACTCAGGAGCTCGAAGGAAAGCAGGAACAGGGAAAGCGTGGATGTGGGCCCATACAGAGGGCTGGAGTAAGACAGGGGAAGGCCTCTGGTTTTCTAAGATTACTATGCTTGATTGTACCAGACCATAAAAAGGAGAAAGAAGTCTAACTTGAGGATAAATAGTAAATTGGAAAAGACCAGAGAGAACGGAAACTTTATTTGCTTTGCTTTTATAACTTAGAAAAAATGATAACGATTCTTTACTACAAAACATTTCTGTTTAAAATGGGATTATATTCTTTAAAGGAAGAAGATGGTTTCACAATTGTTAAACAAGAGAGCTCATACTGTGAGCAAAATCTCAGACTATGAGTTTTCAGATGATGATATCCTAGATGAATTTTCTAAAAATCTAGACATAAGAGCAGATTTAATAGATAAACATGAGAAACTACCATCTACAATGACATTTCAGGATTGCTTTGGGATTTTATCTCATAGTACCTCATCTCCAATTGATATTTTAGATAATCTATATTATTATTAATTTTGAGAAAGAGTCTCACTCTGTAGTCCAGGGTGGGGTTGAGTTCTCAATCCTCCTACCTCTGCTTCCCAGGGACCAAAATTGTAGAAATGTACTGTCATGCCTGACTCAGAAAATTATCTGTGTCTTTTATAAACCAAGTAAAGGAAATATAGAACCTTAGAAAGCACTTGCCCAGGGGCTGAAGAGATGGCTCAGCAGTTAAGAGCACTGGTTGCTCTTGCAGAGGATCCGGGTTCGAATCCCAGCACCCACATGGCTGCTAACAACCACCCATAACTCCCCAGGGGATCTGATGCCATCTTCTGACCTGAAAGGGCATTGCACCAGGTGTACTCACATATATGCCAGCAATACACTCATACACATAAGGTAAAAAATAGTAAATAAAAAAAAATTTTTTTTTTTTTAAAAAAGCCAGGAATAGTGGCACATGCCTTTAATCCCAGCACTCGGGAGGCAGAGGCAGGCGGATCTCTGTGAGTTCGAGGCCAGCCTGGTCTGCATAGTGAGTCCCAGGACAGCTGGGGCTACAGGGAGACCCTGTCTCAAAAAGACCCCCCCCCAAAAAAAGCACTTTCCCAGAATGGAGATAGAGCTCAGTGACAGAGCACCTTCCCAGCATACACAAGGTCCTGGGTTCAATCCCTGACACCAAAATCTACTCCCCACACATATTTCCGTCCTCCCAAACTGTTGGCCTCCTACTGGGCAAAAGATCCTTTCAGCTTCTGAGTTCGCACAGTATGGGCACAGTAGCAGAACTGCAGGTATTTGCTGACCGCTAAAGTAAGTTCATATTTTCTCTATAACAACTGGCTGCTTCCTGAACTTGTTCACCATCTATGGCCCATATTCTTATTTTACTCATTTGTAGGACTTGCTACATGTTATAGAAAAGAAAAAACCTCTGTGACGGTTAATCTTGATTTTCAGGTTGACTGGACACTCTTCCAGGAAGTAGTGGAGGGCACTTCTGTGCTGTGTGGAGGGTTCTAGAGACAGTCAGATCCTGAGGGCTTTGGGCTAACAAATGATTCAAGTCACAGCACTATAGGGAAGTGGGGCCTGGCTGGGAAGAAGTCCTCCCTGGGGATGCCTCTAGGGAGTTTATCTTGATCTGCTCTTTTCCTGTTTGGTTCTTTCTCTGCTACCTCACTGCCATGAAGTGAGCTGCTTCATCCCACCATGCTGTCCCTGCTCTATGAGGACTGAACCCTTGGAAACTGTGAGCCAAAATACACACTTCTTCCTTTAAGCTGTTTATGTCAAGCAGCAACAATAAAACTGACTAATAAAAACACTCAAGTTCCAACAGCTGACAGTATAGAATCCTTTTTGAGGTAAGTTAAGTTATAGATTTCTGTTAAGATTTCTGTCATCTCCAGTCTCCTCAGAAAAGCATCATGAATTTGGTGTGTGTCCTTTTGACCCATTCCAAAACAGCTTAAGATTTACCCACGTCCAAGAGCACAAGGCACCATTTTATGTGTTGGTTAATTTTTGGTTTCCTTTTAGTCTTACTGATTTTCCTCCAGTGCCATACACAGCACACAACTGTATTATTCTTTTGTGTTCTATTTAACCATTCCCATGCTGTGGCTGCTCATACTGTTTCCAAACTTTTCCAATATTATCTCCAGGACTGACTTTCAATGTTTTTGTCCCACTTACCATAATAATTCTATACACAGTTGTACATGTATATTAAAAGCTGAATAAAGTTGGGGGCTGGAGAGATGGCTCAGCAGTTAAGAGCACTAGCTACTCTTGCAGATGACCCTGTGTTCAATCCCTAGCACTCACATGGTGGTTAACAACCATCTGTGACTCCAGTTCCAGAGGTGTGATGCCCTCTCTGACTTCCATGGGTCAGAATATGACACAGGTCATGCCAGGTAGACTCTACACTCAGGGACATTAAACCTAGAGTGGCAATGCATGTCAGGTGGACTCTCTATATACTCTGGAGGACATTCATATGAAAAGCACAAATAACACCATTGTTATCAGCACTTTTGATTTTTATATTTTATGTGTTCTAGTTTTTTGCCTGCATGTAAGGGCACCTGTGTCCATGCAATACCCTCGGAGGCCAGAAATGGTGTTGGATCCCCTGCAACTAGTTGTAGATGGTTGTTAGCCATCATATAGGTGCTGGGAACTGAACTCAGGTCCTCCACAAAAGCAGCCAGTGCTCTTAACTGCTGAGCCATCTCTCCAGCCTCATCAGTTCTGTTTTAAACATATGTATAGCATATGTACAGCACAGCATGTGTTACAAGGTAATAATACTACAAACACAGTATATATTACATGGATAATACATACCATAGCCACAGAACACATCATATGTATATTATGTACTGTGATCACAGTTTACATTTCACATAAACATAATATGTTATGGAACAGACTGTGTTACTCACAAGTACATATTATCAACAGTTTGACTCTGTAGAGCCTTGGAGGATAAGTATGAGTTTACCAAAATGTGCTATTTCAATGTGATAAAATAATACCTAACATTTACTTAATTTGTAAAAACAGAATGAAACAAAAATCCTCTAATTGCAATTCTTGTCATTATAAGTTTTACAGAAAAGGAAACTGAGGCAGAAAGGTTAAGTAATGTGCCCTCAGTCCAAAAGGTGTAAATGGAAGAAATGGAACAGGAACTGGGCCTGGACTTCTTCAGGATCACACACAGAAGGGGAGGTACTTCCTGGAGCCACTTGACAAGGGCTTGCTTAGCACCAACTAGCTTGCCAGGTACAGTGAAGGATGTGTTTATGAGATCTGGACAGCCTGAAGGATGTGCTCATGAGATCCAGACTACAAATCCAGGATCTTCAAGGCTGAGCAGCCAGCCAATGTGACAGCACTTCATACTTCAACTACGTAATGATTCTCAGACCTTAAAGAAATAAATGAACAAAATGGCTTCTTCTGACTAGATTCATTCTCTTAGAAAGCACTGGGGTTTGAATGTTTTTTCTCCCAAACCTTGGTCTCTGGTGCAGTAGTGTTAAAGTGGCGGAACCTTTAGAAGGGATGTTAGTCTAGAAACATGAGTTAGTCCTCACAAGAGCAGGTGGCTTTAAGGCAAAGTCACAAAACACACATGGTCCCTCCTGCTCATGGTCAGTTCTGCCATGTTGTAACAGTCTATTTATACCCTAGCCATTACCAGAGTATTAGCACCGTGGTGTTTGTACCCTCCAGCACCATAATCCAACCAAATGAATCTCTTTATAAAGTACCTAGCCTCAGGTATTTTGTTACTAACAGAAGCCAATTAATACAGGCTTCAAAGAAAATGGAGGCTGCCTGACTAGGCTGTTGAACTAGAGGAGCTCAAACTGGCTTACTGGCCCAGTTAGCAGGAAACTGCTAAAATGTCCCCCTGTAGCCTTTACCATTCTCAACATGCTTTCAGAGCCTCTAAGTTACTACTGTCTCCAAGCAACCAGAGTGTCCATTTCCGTTATGGTCTGCCTTTCTGACCAGAGGCTGAACTCAGTCACTTGTGAAACAGGATATCTCCAAATTTATTCACAGATAGGGATGAAGAAAAAGCAGAAGTTCTGCACCTCACACAGCCTTTGAAACTTAACGTCTGTTCATTCAACAGGCAGTTTTCCTGATGCTTTCTCAGAGTACTCCTGTGGGCAGACAGATGTTTCCCCACCCAGGCTCAGTATGGAGGAAGTACGTCTCTAGATTCTGTCGTCTTTTCTTCCATGGGAGAAACTCACTTTCCTCACAAGATGTATGCAGCAGCCAAATGACAGGTTTCACTGGCTTTTTTTCCTTTTTTAATATAATTCCAGTGCGTGTGTGTGTCCGCGCGCGTGCATATGCGTGCAGGTATACACATAGCATGTGTGTGGAAGTCAGGAGAAATCTAGGTGCCAGTCCTTGTCTTCCACCTTACTTGAGAAAGTCTCATCGTATGCCAGGATTCTCCCATCTCCACCTCCCATCTCCCTGCAGAAGCACCATGTTTACGTGCGCTTTATAGGTCTGGCTTCACGTGGCTTCTGGAGACACAAATTCATATTCTCATGCTTGTACATACATCATCACTTTAAGCACTGAACCATCTCCCCAGCCTTTACCATAAATGTCTATTGGTGTATGTTTTCATACATAGTGGTCTACTTTGACCAGATGTTTTAGACAGACTTATTTAATGGTCATATAACTGGTGGGACTCAAACGTGATATAATCACCATGAAGAATTTCAAAACAGCTAGAAGAAACACATGCATGCCTCTTTACCCAGCAGTTCCACTTCTAGAAATGTACCGTCAAGACACACTGAACAGAATGTCAACAGAGAAACGAAAGGTAAAAGATAGAAATGCAAGCTAATTAACTGATCCCATGGCCAAGGCTTTTGAATAAACATTTTGTTTTGCTGCTGCTGTTGTTTTTGAGACAGGCTCTTGCTATGTTCCCCAGGTTGGTATCAAGCCATCCTCCTGCCTCAGTTTCCTGAGTAGCTAGGCCTGCAGGCACACATCACCATGTTCCACTTAAAATTTTGCTGTGACAAGTCATATCAAGGATTTTCCTACAAAGACTTTCTTTTTGAAAACTCCGATGCTGTCTTCCTCAAAACCACAAAAAGAATTCCTATTTATGTACTGCTTGCTGTCCATCTCTTAATCTAGATGCAGCCTATGAAGGCAGAGATTTCTCTTAGCTAGCACTGTAACTCCAGTAAAGGTTCCTGGTACATATGAGGGACCCAGGCAATATTCAACAGTGAGTATCAAGGGTCTGTTCTACCAGCACTTAAGAACTCTAAGAATTTCAGTATTACTCACCGAAAACTGGCTCCCTATCACCTAACTACTGTCTCCATGTTGAAAGTCATCAGTAACAACACTTAAGGACTCTAGAGAAAGAGTGCAGTATGAGCAATCACCTTTCTATAAAAATCTCCTGCCAGGCCTGGTAGCGCACACCTTTAATCCCAGCACTTGGGAGGCAGAGGCAAGTGGATCTCTGTGAGTATAGGCCAGAGTTCCAGACCAGCTGGGGCTGCAGGGAGACCCTCTCACAAAAAGACCAAAAACAAACAAATCAGTCTGTTCTGGGATTGCTAAGGAAGCAGCCCTGTCCACTCTTAGACTCTTATCTAGATTTCAGGTTCAGCATATTTGGCTCAGGGACAGATGCACTAAGTAGCAACTGCTAGTTCAGATTCCTGGTCTGGTTTCCACAAGGTTGAGAAGATTAAATCATTTAGACTTCTACCCAGGAAAGACTGAAAAAGAGAAACAAGAAAGAGAATGGAGAGGAAGTGGTGAAGGAAGAGGTGGGAATAAGCACAGTACCACAGTAAAGGTGAACAGCTCACTTTTCTGCATGGCACTGACTGGGCAGGTACCTGGAGACTCCCTCTCCCTAGGAAGGGCAAATTCTTTTGTAAAAATCTAATGGTGGTGGCAACTGCCACTCTAAAAGGAACAGAAAGCAGCAGGGAGGAATGAAGATACAGAACACAAACTTGCCAGTTTCCCCCCAGGAATGTTGTGAATTAACTGAGCAGAAGAGAAATAAATGTGTGAAAACCACTGATACTGTAAACAGACCTTTAAAAGGTGAATTACCTTACAATCTGGCAAGAAACCACACTCTTATCTCTAGTGACTTCCTCTCTGCACACCTAGGAGCCCTTCCTCATTTCTACCTAGCAGGAGGCCTCCACGTTAATCTCTCAAACATGCATTAGCTCAAGCTACCCAGTCCTCTTACCCCAGCCAGAGTCAGAATGTTCTCCAGAGATTTGGTCATGATGAGCCGCTTCCTGGCACGAGTAACTGCAACATACAGTAAATTCCACTCATCCTCAGAAAAGGACTCTAAAGAAAGGGGAACAAACACTTTAAAAGCCTGTCTGCAAATACTTATGTTCTCATTCAAATGCTTATGATCCCTCACCAGCCTCCTTCCAAAATCGCTCCACGTTTGCTGGCTGTCTATATAAAATGCTCCTACAAACACCAACCAAAAAACAAAACTTCACTAACTGGTGACACAAAATGCTAGGCTTCTTTCTAGTCTTGTACAGTAAATCCCAGGAACATGTTAACTGACTATTCATCTGTAACATACCCAAGGGATACTAACGTTCTTGTCCCAGCTCTCCCCTTGTCTGTGAGGCAGATGGAGAACCTGTGGCTTAGAGGGTAAACCATTTGCAAATGAGGTCTGGCTAGTTAAGGGCCAGGGCTAGTCCAGGTCTACACTGTCTGGATGATCTCAGTCCAGTCTGGGAAGATGAGAGCTCTAAGTCTGCACTGCCCACCTGACATCCATCATCTCTCCATCTCCATACCTAGCGAAACAGACCAGCTCATCTGTGAGTAGACTAGAAGCCGCTGAGCTGTATGTACATTTTGAATGGGTGGACTGTGCATCGTATAAATTGTCTCCCAACAGAGCAATTGTCCAAAGAGAGTACATAAATATTGAGAGAGCTTTACAGTTTGAAAACATCCAATGCTTTTTTTCTGGGATTTAAAATCAAAACAAAAGCACTGCTGCAGACTTTAACAGCTAATCTTGAGAATCCATTTATTAGACAGCAGTTGATAAAGCAAACAAAAAAAAAGCAAGTTTGGGGGCCGGGGCACTGCTCAGTGGTAGAGCACTTGCCTAGCACACACACGGCCCGCTTCTCAATCGCCGGGACTGGAAACACAACAATAACAACAATTTTTGTTTTGTTTTTTCACTCCGGTGCAAGTAAACCAATGTTTCAAAGCTGCTATGAGGCTGGGGCACCTAGTGCCTGATGAGGAAAAGTCCAAAGCAGATGGGCAGCTGTGTTCACAGGGCCATCATGACCTAACACACTACCAGCCACCCTGAGGGAAGGGCCCTGTAGAAATTTGACTTTTCTAAAAACCAAAGTATTAAAAACTGAAAGTTTAGGACCAGGATGTGTTATTTTGGTTTTGTTCTAGAAGGACAGGAAACCATCCCATCCAAACTACAGTGGTGAAAAGGGAGCATCCAGTCAACTCCTAGCTACTACACAAGAGCATCCAGTGTCCTTACCAACTCTGAAATGAGGAAGCTGGGCGAGATTATGCCTGGCACAAGGCACCTTCACGAAATCATCCAAAACATGCACAGTATCAAACTCCAAGCCTTTGGCTTTGTGCACAGTGCCCAAAATGTACTCTAGAACAGAAATGTGGTACGGTCAGAGGAGGGCGCACGGGGAAGAGACCAGAGGCAAAGCAGCCTTACTGGTGCAGCTGTAGCTGTGTGGACAAAGGGTGTGGCACAGCTGGGAAAGGTGACAAAGGCTGAGAAGGGAAGGTAGCACGTTAGTCACAAGCATACCTCAAAGAATGACAGAGCCAAAGCCACCTGACCTTCTCCCTGTGCTGTACACAGAGGGCACAGGCCCAGGGGAGAGCTGCTTAGTTTACCCCGTCACATGTAACAGAGCTAGGTTTAGAAAATCTCCTTCTAGTGGCTTGAGAGAGGAACAGGAACAGCAATAAAGAGGTCCTGTGGGACAGCTATCGCTCTGCTTCCTATTTGTTTGTTTGTTTAAGGTAGGTGGTGGGTCGAACCCTCTCTTAACGAGCACAGCCACTGCTAGCCACAGATGCAAGTAAGAGACTCACAACACCACCCATTCCTCCTTGTGTACAGAGGCAGCAAACAACTGTGTTCCTTACCTGCAAAGTCTAAATCTTCTATGTGGCATTTTTCTATTCTTTCCACCAGTTCCGGAATCCTAATATTGTATTTTTCAACTACTGCAATCTTGGCTTCAAGCTCCTTGTCCTCGGCAGCTGTCACATACCTCTTGAAGCCACTGAAGCCTTCTTTGTGCACCCATCTTCTGATGAACCTGTCTTTAATGACGAGATTTCCTACAGAGGAGACACGCTGGGTGAAAAGGAGACCGGCAGCCTACCAGGGGGCAGTAGCACTACACTCCTGACCAACAACACACCAGTAGCCAGTCTTAGAGTTGGGAGACCCAAGTTCTAGTCCTGACTGGATCACTAACTCCCTGTGTGTCCCCGGGACAAGTCAGTAGGGGCAGCCTCTCTGCCTCCATCACAGCACCGGAAGCGAATTTTGTCTAGTTCACAGGGATTTGAACGTGCCAGGGAAACACTAGGAGTTCGCACCTGGGGCCCACACAGACATGACAATGGGTAAAGCTGCACAGGCAGGCAGAACAATGAAAGGGGAGATGGCCTAAGGGACCAACACGGGCAACTAGTGACACCCTAAGAAGGATCTGGAAAAACCTCCCAGTTCTTTGAACACAGGTTTGGGCATCCCGCTCCAGGGAAAAAGCTGGCCCTAGCTCCTGTGTGGAAGAACAGTGAGAGCACTGACTCAGGCTGGGCCGGTCCGCCCCCATCCCCAGCCCTGGAGCTACCTTCTGAGGCGCCGAGGCCAGGCAGGTACTCACGTTTCCTCCGCTCTTCCTCTGGCTGAAGAAGGGTCCAAATATCAATGATTCTGTCCAATCCAAATGATTTAATCCCCTGAAAAAAAATTTTGGTGGAATTTTTGGTGTTTTGGTTTTGTTTTGCTTTTTATCCAAATAAAACAAATCTGAGGATGGGACTTTGAAAGAAGACATTTCTTGGAAACAGATCTCCAGTTGCCGCAACGCACACACGGCAAGCAGGAACCTCATGAAGCACAAAGCACAGAGCTGTCGCCTCAAACTCTTCCTGTGTTTTAGAAGAGGAAGCCCTGACTGCACACTGCTTTCTCATCAGTACCAGGGCAAGTGATGGCTGCCCTCCAAAAGGACATGATGGCTGGAAAGGGCAGGCCGGACAACTGAAGACACCTGTCAGAGGGCGTGCTCTCTGCTGTTGCTTCTGAGTGAGAACTCGACAGTGTCTACAGGCCCAGACTGTTCTGTAATTTAAAATCCTCTTGGAGGAAAGGGCCTTGTGCCACAGTTCTTTTATAAAAAAATATTTACCTATTTATATGAGTATATTGCCTGCATGCATGTAAGTGCACCCACATCATGCAATGCCCGTGGTGGTCAGAAGAAGGCGTCAGATCCCCTGGAACTGAAGTTACAGATGGTTGTAAGCCATCATGGGTGCTGGGAACTGAACCCGGGTCCTCTTCAAGACCAACCAATGCTCTTATCAAACGAGCCATCTCTCCAGCCCCCTGTGCCAGTCTTAACCTAGCTCTACCTAAAGTGCCTGTTGAACACTGGTTGTGGCTCCGGCACTCCCAGGGCACTAGGCCCAGCATAAGAGAGCTGTGACAACGGCTCCACCTAAGAACTTTCCACCCCTGTGGAGGGTCATAAAACTGACATAAAACAGGGAAAACCAAAGTACACGCTGTAATTCATCCTGTGTGTGAACAGTGTAATGACCCATGGTACAGGCACAGGTGTATGTAAGAGAGGAAGGGAAGTTTACTTTATAGCCAACAGGGATGGCATTCCAAAATTATTACAATAATGAAAATGGCAACCTTGTGACTACCAGATGAAAAACTCCAAAGGTATCAAAAGATCAGTGAGAGAAAATGTGATGTGTTAAGTTAAAAAAAAAAAAAAAAAACAGTATTTTTACAATACCATAACTACAATTACACAAAAATACACATCTAGAAGTGCCAAGGCACAAAAAAATTAGCAAAACTGAGAATTACAGGAACGATGCTGGAATTACACATGACTTTTCCTTTTTAGCTCCAAATTCTGCAACACTATATATAAAGTTTGCTTTTAAAAAAGGAAAAAACAAAAAATTTCTCTATGATTCAGTGTTTTACTGAGTGCCAAACACACAGTAGTAGGCCCTCAAAATATTTTTTCCCACAAATGAATATCCTTCAGTCATACAACTTCAGAATTAAATATGCCATAAACATGTCATTTAATCCTAACTTGCCCCATGAAACAGGTTTTTGAAAAGGTGTTGTTTCATCTTAGAGATGGAAAGAATGAGGCGTACAAGGGGTGACTTGCCCCAGCCACACAAGTCAGTGATAACAGCTCTAGAATCCAGGTGCTCGACCCTATGTGCTGTAGAGTAACCTGTCACCCAGAATGTCGTCAGCTAAGCTGTTTTAACACTAATGACAACACACAGTCAGAAAAACACAGGGAGCCAGCAACCTCACTTGTACAGGCAATGTAAACGGAGCATTCATTTATTAAAGATGAAAGACAAGCTACTGAATGGATCTGACTTTACAAGAATTACATATAGGAACATAATCCGAGTGGCCAGTCACAGTGCAGCCTAGGGAAAAGAGTTCAAAACCAAAAAGCTTTCTTGCCCAAAATCCTGAGGAAGCCTAGTACTTTCATCAGGTTGGTCTGTCTACAAGAATGTTTCTGTGTGTGAAGCGATGAACAGAAATATCCTCTTACCCCAATCAAATGTATCTTTGAAGGTGATTCTCCTTCTGTTACCCGTACAGCCTCATCAAACACGTTGGCATTGGTCCGGGACAACAGAGCCACTTGTCCCTTTACGTCCCCTCTAATGCCACCTTGGGGAGAAAGCACAAACTCCATGCAAATCAATGGACAGAGCACAAGTGAGTTTGTGACAAAAAACAGCAGAGCAGCAGAAAGCCTTACTCTGATGGTTCCCTCCAACCAGTGTCTTCTTCCTCACTCTCTTGCAGACATCCAAGATGGTAGCTCCCACATAAGCTATTTCCACACCAAATCTAAAACTCTGTTGGAAAACAACAAAAGCATCAGCAGCCTGCCTTAGTGTGTGAGCTCAGTTCTATCACTGTAATTTGGACATTCCTAAAGTCAAGTCACTTATACCCAAGGAAGAGACTAGTGAGCAAGAATTACTGTTTCTCTTAGCCTAACATTTCCTTTCCTTTTTAAAAAGACTTATTTGTGCTACGTTTAATTAGGTGTGTGCCTGTGTATGTGTGTGTGTGGGTATGAATGCAGTGCCCACCAAAGCTAGAGGTTACAAATCCCCTGGAGCTGGAGTTACAGGTGGTTGTGAGTTGCCTGATATGATGTGAACTCAAGTCCCCTGCAAGAGCAGTGAGTTCTCTTAACCACTGAGCCATTTCTCCAACCCCCACAGTAGCGTCTTCTATCTTGAAACCTTGTCCCCGACCTCACACACACCATCTATACTTCTTTCTCTTACCACTATCTTCAACTTCACTGGGCACTCAAACTTCATGTTCTACCTCTCTGACCCTCACATCATTTCACATTCAAATGACTGTCTTCTGTCGGATTAATTAATTAAGCCATTCCCTTACTATGAAAAAAAACACAATAAATAAAGAAAAAAATGAAATGCCCCCACTCTCAGGATCTTCCGCTATCTAGACAGTTCTCAACATCTTCTGCTAACACCAATTACAAATGTCTCTTAAGCAAATCTCTCCCCATCCCTTCTCAATAAATCATGCAAAGGTTAAAAGAGGGTAGAAGTCTCTCCTTTTCCTCCTAGACCTCACTCAGCATTTATAACCACTGGAGAATAAGGTAGCCGTGGGTAGAAATGACTACATGAGCCCTCTCAGGCTGGGGTTCTGGGGGTACATGTGAGCAGTAGAGTGCTCGCCTAGCAAGCTCAAGGCCCTGTGCTCCATCACCAGACCACAAAAAAACAAAAACAGAACACTGAAAACAAGCATGATGGTGCATGCCTGGAATCTTAGCACTCAGGGACTCAGGCTGGAAGACCGTGAGCTCCAGCTCAGCCTGGGCTATACAGTGACTCCCTCTCTGAAGAACAAAAACCAACAAACATGGACATTCTCCAGATTCCCTGCCTTGGGCCATGCATGCTGTTTCTATCAGCCTTTTCACCTATATAAATCATTTCCAAGGGGCTGGAGAGACGGCACAGCAGTTAAGAGCACTGGCGCTCTTGAAGAGGTTCGGTTCCCAGCACCCACATGACAGTTAACAACCATCCTAACTCCAGTTCCAGGGGATCCAATGCCCTCTTCTGACTTCCAAGAGCACTGCACAACACAGGTACACTTACATACATGCAGCAATACATTCATACACATAAAATAAAAATGATAAGATATTTTAAAATCTAAGTTATTTCCTAGCCTTCAAAACTGAGCCTAGGAGTCTGTGTCCTTGCCAACGGCAACTGGAAGGACAGCGTCATTCCCAAGGCACCCGTACAAGTGCGTGGAGACAATGTGGTCCAAGGAAACTCGACTTTCAACAATAGGGACTTTGCCACCATAAAATCACAGAATGAACTGAGATCCAATTTACTGAAATAAATACTCATAAACGACTGAATAAATAAGAACACTTATGCTATCATGTAATGGGAGAAAAGAAACAAATAACAGACGCAGACACTCCACACTTCTCTGCTGAGGGTTCAGTACAGACTTCCTTCCACAGCCCGCAGTATAGACGGGGTTGCCTTTCCAGTGGAGGAGCCAGGTGCTCCAGGTTACCATCAACAGTCATACCCCCATAGACAATATGGATGCTCAATACCACATGACAAAAACGGCACTTAACAACTGAGGTCCTATGGTTAGACCATAACTTTCTCTAACCATGAAAAAAATACTTGTGACAGTTTCAACACAGAAACATACTGAAAACACTTCAGCAGTACTTCTCAAAACTGTCAGTGTCATCAAAATCAAAGTCTGAGAAACTGTCACGGACAAGAAAACTGAAGGAGACGTGACTGTGTGCAGTGACTGTCTGCAATGTACAATCCTGGATGGGCTCCTGGAGCAGCAAAGGATATTACTGAAAAACTGAGGAAATCTGAATAAACTTTGAACTTTAGCTATCACAACATATCATTACTGATTTATTATGTGTGGTGAGTAAAACATACTGTGAGCTGGCACATTAAAAACGGGGGAGGGGAGAAAATGCTTGCTTATGTTTTGGGGCCTGAGAAGCACAGCAAGCCCTTACCTGTGTGAGATAGAAGACGTGAGTGTGGGGGACCGTGAACAGAGCATTCACCGCACCACGGAAGGTATAGATCTGTTGGTGGGGGTCCCCTACAAAGATCTTCCCACAAGGCTGAGACAGAACTATGTTCATGATAGCTGCAACCAGGAAGAGAAAGAGTGAGAAGGTCTGAAGGGCTCTAACCCACAAGCCAAAAGAATTCATGTTTAAGAAAGAAAACTAACCCAAACGCAGCCAGCCCAACAGATAACAAAGTGCTACGGGGCAGGCACTATATCAAAAGACACAGTTTTATAACAGACAAAGGAAAACAGTTTCTAGGTCTAGGAATGTTCTTCATGAATTGGCCCTAAGAAAATATATAGGCAAATACAGAGTGGGGCAAATTTTCTTCTCCAATACTATCACACCCCCAATTACCTAGGAAGTCAAATTTATAATACTCTATTCTCTATTAGCCACACAGCACAAAATTTCACTCTAAATAGACTACCTTTTCCCAATCGGCATGAGGCTAGATCCCTATCATCTGATGAGCGACCCACTCAGCATTTTAAAAACAACTCCAGTAAAACACCAAGGAAGATAAATCTGCTTCAAGTGAGGGGAGCAGACAACTGTGGAGATCTTAAGTCAAATAAGAATTTTTGAAAGACTAAGGATCATTTGTTCCTCTTTATCACAAATAAGAACAATGAACTTCCACATAGTGTCCTCTTACATAATCATGGTGCTCTTTCTATGTATCTGAGACTACTGATGTCCTGAATAGTTTATCACCTGGGGTACAGTCCTGGGCCTCATCCACAAAGATGGCGTCAAAAGAGGCAAGCAAAGGCTTGCTCAGCTGCCAGAGTTTCAAATAGCCTGGAAGAAGGAGCACTAGAGTCACAATTCAGGAAAGCATCTCCAACCAACAGAAACTCATGCTGGGAGCGTGCCTACCGTCATGAGTCATTTGGTACGCCTCTTCTTTACATTCCCCCAGCTTCCTCATGTTGTCCCAAAGTCGGCTTGCTTCAAAAACGCCGTTCTAGAAAGTGACAAGGGAAGCCAAAGTTTAAGACCCTGAAGAGGCAGCACCCTGAAATCAAACTTCTACTTCTGCACAGACCAGCGGGAGCAGAGACATCATCCCAGAACAGAGAGCAGCCCTCCCAGGCTCCACAATGGCTGTTTGACTCTGTGGTGATCTCCAGTCCGGGGAGGAGTGAGAGGCTGGGGCCACAGCAGACGTGGCAGCACAAATCAAAGACTAGATAGAATTGGTGAACCAGGGAAGGCCCCATTGTTTTTCTAGATTCACAAGTGGCAACTCATAAAAACAACAAATGACTGAAAAAGACTGGATAAAAGTTAAGAAACAGACTTTTCCACGAGCAAAATCTATGTAGAACTACAATAAAAAAATCACTGGATCTAGAAGACCCACCCTATAACAAACTCCTAAATTATGGGCAAGTCCTTCCGCAGAGGTGGCACAGCTGTCTGCAATCCTAATACTAGGGAGGCTGAAACAAGAGAGAGAATCCTGAGTTTGAAATCAGACTCAATCACAGAGAGAGACCCCGTCCCATTTAAAAAAAAAAAAAAAAGCCCACCGAGCATGGTGGAGCATACCTTTAATCCCAGCACTTGGGAGGCAGAGGTAAGGCAGATCTCTTTGAGTTCAAGGCCAGCCTGGTCTACATAGCTAGTTCTGGGCCAGCTGGGGCTACAGGGAGATCCTATCTCAAAAAGACCAAAAAAAAAAAAAAAAAACCTGGCAGGACTACTGTGGGAATTATGGGACCCTGTGTTTTCTCTTTTTCACAGGAGAAAACACATGTGACTGACAGGCACTTGTCTCGCCTGCCCACTTCAACGTCCTATGCGCACCTCTGAGGAAACAAGGGCACACCAGGTCCCTGACACTTAAGACATTTGAGACTCACCAGTTTCTCACTCTGTTCAACCATGATTCTCTGTCCTCGGCTGTTCTTGCACCAAATAGGCACATGATCAATAGTCAGCTCTTCATCAGCTGATGCAAAGAAGTTTTCTAACGTCTTACATACTAACTTGGCTCGTATGAATCCACCTTTCCCTTCAGCAAGGACAGAGTTGACCATGAAAGGTGTTAACTTGAAGAGATTCAACTTCTTCTTCAGCTGGTACCTGTAATGCATACCCCCAGTGAATAGCCCTCAGCTTTACAGACGCCCTGCCACTTACTGTATCCCCCATTCCCTCCAACAACACAAGGTAATTCAAGGTGTCAAACACAGGTGAGACAAAATGTTTTCAAAGTCACAGGAATCCTGCAAGGTCTACATCTCAACTGAGACAGCTTATACCCTAGACTTTCAGTTCACATATGACAACCCGGAGGATGAATCAGCTCATAGCAGCTGATACTGTTGCTTGGAATGGTTCCTGCTCCAAGTAGTCCCTCCCCCACTGAAAGTTCCCTGAAGCCTTCTTGTTCACAAAGTCTCGGGTATATGGAGGTTTTCCAAGGAAAAACCTAAACGTTTTCAGGGTTTGTGACATCCTGAACTTTAAACTAGTGCCTCAATTCCAGAGAAGCAAGAACAGCCTCCTCAGCCAGGTAGCTATGTGTAAGCAATCACAGGACAAAAGTACAGACCACCAAAGCTTCTGTGCCATCTCCTGCCTGTAAATGGAGATGGCAGCATGGCATGTTCTCAGTGTTGTGGGGTAAGTTCATACGTGACCATAAGGATCATCACATGAAGAACAGCAGCCTGTGGAAATGACACCAGCACGGGATGCTCACTTCCGTCCGACGTGACCGTAGGCCATGGAATGAAAGGTTTTGCAGATGACGTTGCTGGGGAAAACAAGCTCCGCCTGCTTTGCAATGCTCTTGTTGAATGTAACATACAGAAATCTGCTCTGAGCCCACTTCTCGGCATACTTGACCAGGGTAGAGGTCTTCCCAGTGCCTAAGGAAGCCAAAAGGAGAGGCTATGACCCTCTGGATAGGCAAAACATGCCCCTGGCTCCCCAATAAGGCCTTTTGCTGGCTCATTCTCCCTCTGGCTTAGACCAAGACTGACTGCAATACTGATAAAAGTTATATCAGGAAAGGAGATCTTAAGTCAGACTACATTGGGGTCTTGGCTCTGCCAGGCTCTGTCCAAGCATTAAAGGGCAAGCCACTTATCTGACTGACTTGTCTGTTCAGCAATATGTCGATAACACCTCAAGGGTTTGTGAGGACGAAGATAATCAAGGTCTCCAAGATCAAGAACTTGGTAATGGCTGGTTACCTCCAGATTAGAGGTCGTTTATGTCTCTGAAGCAAGAAAAGACACAAAGGAGACTCAAAGATCCTTCTGATTCGTTGATAATTCCATCTGTTCTACCTTGCCACCATTCACTCAATTATTTAGTTAGCCGAGCTGCATTTAATTTAGGAAATATTTACTGGGTATGCAGTGCACACTCAGCTATATGCCAAGCATCAAGAAATATTTAAAAATATACAACTCCTCACCTCGTGCTGCTTCCCTGGGTTGCACAGCCCACAGCCTCTTTCCTGGAACCCGGGGCTTTCTGACCTCTCGGCCCGAGGCCACCACTGCGGCCTGATCCCTTGCATCCAGACAGAACCAGTTCATTCTCCAAGTCCCCAGGAACCCTCTGGGCCTGGTCCCACCCTCACCCTCTGCTTCCCTGGGCCTGCACAACCCACCAGCCTCTCTGCAGGGTAAGTGAACTGGGCCCTCCGCTCCTTGACTCCCCCAGCCTCATTAACCCTCCTATCACCCCTGCCCGTCTCTCCTCCTAGCCTGGGTCCTGTCCCATTCCTTGTCTTGGGGCCCAAATATGGAGGAATCACCAATGCTTCCTGATCCTTTGTATCCAGACAAGCCCAGTTCCTTTTCGGGGTCCCCAGGAGACCTCTGGGCCTGGCTCTGCCCTCAAGTCCCTCTGCTTCCCGGGGCTGCACAACATCTCGGCCTCTTTCCTGGATGCTGGGGCTGACCTCTTGGCTTCTTGATCCTGTGCATCCAGACCAATACAGTTCCTCACTGCAGTACCGAGGAGCCCTTGGGGCTGCCTCCTGCCCCCATCTTCCTTTGCATCTCTGGGTAGCATGGACACCAGCTGCCCTAGACCAGCATCTTTCCTGGGCCCTGCTCCCAGGCCAGTCCAACCCCCAAATTCCTGAGGGGCCAGCATCTTACCTGGGTCCTACTCCCAGGCCAGCCCAGTCCCCAAATTCCTGAGGCCAGCATCTTTCCTGGAGGGATACAGACCTTGGGAGAAAGCCTGAGTGCATCTGATCCTCATCCAACTTGGGCCTCTGTGGGAACTCCTGAGCAGCAAGACAAAAGCTATTTGGCCACTCGAATATAAAATCAAAAGAGAAAACCTGAAGCCTAGACCAACCAGGTTTTCATCCCCAACAAGTAAACCACAAAGGCACATAAAGTTTACAAAAAGAAGCAGATCTAAACTCAACAAAGGAAGTCTTGAGTCTCACACAAGAATCAGAAACTAGAAAAGAAAATTCACATGTCAAAGTCACAGAGAAAAAATAATAATATGAAAAACCAAAATAATATATCCCCACCAAGTACCAACAGTCCTCTACAGGAGTGCAATGAGAACCCCCTAGAGATAACACAGGACATGGAACTCAAAAGAACAATTATAAACATGATAAAAGAATTCAACGAATTTAAAGAACACACAAAGAAATCAAAGAACTGAAGGAAGATAGGGATAAGCTTCTGAAAGAATTCAGAAAAGAGCTAGAAATATTGAAGGCTACTCAGGTTGAAATGAAGAAGGAAGTGAAACACTCAGTAAGCCAATTAGAAACGACAGGAGAAAGCCTCACCAATAGGATGAATGAAATGGAAAACAGAGTATCAAGACTGGAAGATAAAGTGGACAAACTAGACCACTCAAGCAAAGATGATGAAAAATTTAAGAAATCACAAGAATGGAATGTGCAGGAATTGTGTGACACCATAAAAAGAACAAATTTATGAATCATAGGCATACAGGAAGGAGAAAAATCCCAAGATAATGGCATTGACCAGATCTTCAACAGAATCATAGAAGAAAATTTCCCAAAATTAAAGAAAGACATGTCCATACAAATACAA